TGTAACAAATTCGCTCATTAACATTTACACTCGTCTTACAGCTATAGACTACCGATACTGATTGCTAAACCAATTATTTCTAGAACTTCGTGTTATCAAATTTTTGGTTTATTGATGAGGCCCAATGGGCCTGAAAATATACAACTTAAAAAAAAGAAGGAACGAGTGGCGAGGGGAGGGGGAGGCAATATCGAGTGGCTCCTGAAACAGTTATTTCTTGCTGCAGTCGGGGGCCGGAAGCATTGTGGGCAAAGGTAGTGAAAAGGCAAGAGAGCCGAAGGGGGTGTGGGAACAATATTCAAGCTCCACTTAAGTGGTACTTGGCCGGGGGCTAGGACTAATACCAGTGTGCAGTCGACTGGAAACAAAAAGGTTAACATGAACAGAATTCTTGGAGGAAGGGGGCTTGGACACGCAGTTCGGAGGAAGGGGGAACAGCCTTTCGTAAAATGGAAACAAATGGAGTTGGTCTACCTGGAAGTCACTGGAAATGGACGTGGAGAATTTCCATATTGTTCAAACGGAAATAACATATATATTGCAGCACGAGATGAGGAAATCTTAAACATAACTAAACTCGCTTAGTATGACAGACCGCTGATGCTTTCGGTGGCTTATTGTTCACTAAATCAGACTGCTGACCAAGACAGTATCCTCGAAACGGTAAACTACGAGGCCAGTGAAAAAAGATATCATAATCATTGGTAAGTTTAACGCTCATGATGTTGACTGGCAGGCAAGGACTGCGCAAGTGCTGCCAGATATTTTCAGTCATAAACCACTACAGTGATTTTGCCGCTGATGCCTTAGCATGTCAACAAATAGCTCTACTTCCCTTCCCTCATCCTTCAAAATAGAGGATATAGGGTATTAAACGGACATAGTAAGGTTCGAGTTACTTCACCTGAAGCCTGCCAAACTGTCTGGGCCGGACAGAATTGCGGCGCTTGCACAGATGACCTTGCTAACGAAATTTGTGAACTACTGACTATCACATTCCAAAAGTCGTTTGTAGAAGGCAAACTCCTGGAATGATAGAAGTGGGCATTCATGCTGATCTATAAGGCAAGTTCATGACTGGACCGTAAAAATTATCGTCCTGTCAATCTAACTTGCAGCGCTTGAAAAATAATGGAATATGTTATCAAGAGGCATTTAATGGGCTTTATGGAAAGAAAACAAATATTATGCGATATCTAGCGCTGCTTTCGTCCAGGACGCTCTTTAGTTGCATGGGAAGTGGAAAAGGCCAATGATAAAGGCTATCCAGTTGATGTCATAGTATTCGACTTCAGGGAGGCCTTCGATATCCTACGGTACAGGCCTCTTTCACAGAAGCTTTGGGATATGGAAATTCAGAAAACAAAAAAGTCATTGTTGAGAACCAACCCCGGAATGGGCGAAAGTAGAAAGTAGTGTCCCACAAGGTTGATTTTTGGGCTCACTTCTTTTCTTAATTTACGTAACTGACTGCCTCAATGACTTAGACTGTGAAGCCGTCATGTTTGAGAGTGACATAAAAATACGAGCTGAATGTAGCCACGCTGACGACTCAAAAAATTTAAAATCGGACACCGACAAACTAATTGCCTGATTGGCGACATGGATTCTTAAGTTTAATGTATTCAGGTTTGTGGCCTCATACATTATCCTCAGTCAAAAAAGTGTGACAGAAAAATAAGTACTCTATAAATGACACCGAATCGAAAGAGGATAAAGCGCACACACAGTTGGACATATAGAAAACCACGAACCTGATGCCATCAGGGCACTGTAAAAAGGCAGTCCAGAGGGAAATAGTACTTGCTCTACATCAGATGCGCGCTAAAAATATTCCCACCTGATCCTTTCGGGAAAATCTTTGGCGTCTTCGTAAAACCATATCTGAACTACGGAATGTGACTTGGAACACCGCGGATGAAAAAAGATGTTGAGCTCCCCGAAAAAGTGCAACTGATGGCGACGAAGATGGTCCATCGTCTTAAGGAATTACCGTACCAGGACAGACTGATAAAGATAGACTCATTTCTCTTGTCTTACAGGCACTTACAGTTTATTCTGCTCCAATAATTTATAATAACCCCGAGATATGCCTCCTCTCTGAGACTGGGGGATTTCTTTGAATTTGCCAGCACAACTCACCCGCGCGGTCAGTTTTACAAAGTCAAAAGCGAAGGCGTTCGATTGGACCTCAGAGAGATTTTCTTCAGAACACGAGTACTAAGAACTTGGAAGTCGCTACTAAGCAAAACGGTTACCGCTGACACCACCGCCGATTTTGTTTCTTACCCAGTGCAGGTCGGCGTCTTCGGCGTTCGCTGCTGAATGACGATGGTGCTTCGCAAAGAGTTCTTAGCTGTCTCGACTGCCCTCAAAGGCAGTTCCCAAGTTTTTTCAATGTACAATACTGCTAGACAGAGAGTGGACCAAATTTCATCCTGAATTGATGCCTTTCTCCAGCCGAACTGGATGAGATTACTTTTTGAACTGACCGCGGCTGAATATACCTCTGCAGAAGGATCA